GAGGGAATTGAACAGGAAAAGGAAGAAAGGGAAGAGAGAAGAAATATAAGGCAGACATATCCAAAGACCTAAAAGGAAGAATTTTTTTAGTGAACTGAGGGAAGCATTTAGTTGTAAATTTGTGTCCTGGCTCACAAGCCAACAATAAAAATGCATTTTTTTCTCTCCAACCATATGAGTTGGACATCTCTGGTCTGGATAAATCTCATTACAAAGATTAGATCTTTTTCTGAAGCACTGAAATGTGAGCCTCAACATTAGAAGTCAGGTGCTGCAGAGAAGGAAGTCCCCCTATATCGACACATTGCTGACCTGGCTGGGAATTCAGACCTCATCTTGCCTGTGCCTGTAAGAACTTTCTGGGGCTCTGGCTGTCGAGTCTACTTGCAAAGAGATTTAAAGTTTGTGGGGCTATGGTGAGGCTGGGGAATGCAGGATTGATGGAATGTGGGGGCTCAGCTGAGAGCTCCCTTTCAGAGCAGTGATAAGGGATTAGCAATTTCACCTCTGCTTCTTTCTGTGTTCATCCAGGCCTTCAATGTGATCAACGGAGGCTCACATGCTGGGAACAAGCTAGCCATGCAGGAGTTTATGATCCTGCCTGTAGGGGCAGAAAGCTTTCGGGACGCCATGCAGATTGGGGCCGAGGTCTACCACAACCTCAAGAGTGTCATCAAGGAGAAGTATGGCAAGGATGCCACCAATGTGGGAGATGAGGGTGGCTTTGCCCCCAACATCCTAGAGAATAGTGAAGGTGAGAGAGAGAAAAAAAAGAATGATCAAAAGGGGCAGAGATTGGACAGATGCATCCTTGGCTGGATCACTGCTCACTCTGTGTCCATTTCCTAGGGCTCCTAATCCCTAGTGTCTCCAGTTTCAGGGTTCTGAGTCCTTCCACTGAAGAGACAGCTCCTCACCATGCTTGGTTATCTTTCTGAGCACCTTCTCCTTAGTAACATCCTGCCCCATTAACTGTTTTCCTAAACAGTCCCCTCCCTTTGATGTTCAGTGGCCTCGCATACTTGCAGGCAGTTATGTCCTTCACCCTTGTCACTGCTCTGAGCTGTGGGATTAGGTCTTTGAATTCCTCCCAAGAACTTAATGCCTTCAACCCCTGGAGTATTTTCCTATCTCTTCTCTGAGCTCTTGCCTGCCCATCACTTTCTGGGATTGAGGAGCCCAGAGCTGAGTAAAGCCTATAAGGTTGGGTCTCACCAGAGCCAACCCTTCTGTGGGATATGAGACCTTTCCATATTTAGGTCCAACTGACACTGTTTCCCTGCTTTTTGTCTTTTTGTTAATTCCCCAGCTAAGGTCTCAACACAGCAGTCTAGAGAAGGACTGTCCTTTTTTGGTGTTTGTCCTTCCACGGCAGCTCCTGCCTCTCAGGCATCTCAGTCCTGTTGAGTGTCTGGAGTTCTGGATGAGTTTGATGTAAGCAGTTTAGCAGTGTTTTGTTCACTCTGTCTGTCACTGTTCCAGCTCTGGAACTCCTCAAGGAAGCCATTGACAAAGCTGGCTATACTGACAAGATTGTTATTGGCATGGATGTGGCAGCATCTGAGTTCTACCGTGATGGCAAATATGACTTGGATTTCAAATCCCCTGATGACCCTAGCCGCTATATCTCTGCAGATGAGCTTGGTGACCTCTACCAAAGCTTTGTGCATGATTACCCAGGTGAGCTGCTATGCTTAGAGTATGTGCGCATTATGCAGTACCGTGCAGTGCAGTATAAGGCTTGATCAGGGGTCTTGCATGTGACAATGTGGAGATACCCTTAGTGCTTGCTACCTGGAGGTTTGGATCACCATGCAATGTTGGGCTGGGAAGGAGGCAGCTGTAACTTACCAACTTTCCCTGTCTCTACAGTGGTCTCCATTGAGGATCCCTTTGATCAGGATGACTGGGAAGCCTGGACCAAGTTCACGGCCAATGTGGGGATTCAGATTGTGGGGGATGACCTGACAGTGACAAACCCCAAACGCATTGAACAAGCTGTTGAGGAAAAGGCCTGCAACTGCCTCTTGCTCAAAGTTAACCAGATTGGATCAGTCACAGAAGCCATTCAAGCGTGAGTCCCCATCCCTCTAGCCATGCCCAACACAGGGGCAGGAAGTGCTGTCATTGGTTCCCTCTGATTTCTAAAGCAGCTAGTTAGATTGGTGCAGCTTTGGTGTTGACAAGGTCTTTATCTTTGTCAGCAGGCAGTAGGAGTCCTGGGAGCCATATCTGGGCAGGGGAGGGGTGACTGGGCCTCTTCCCAGGCATGTGGGGGCTGTAGGAGAGAGATCCTTCAACCTCATTGTTTCTCTCTAGCTGCAAATTGGCTCAAGAGAATGGCTGGGGAGTGATGGTGAGTCACCGATCTGGGGAGACTGAAGACACCTTCATTGCTGACCTGGTTGTGGGCCTGTGCACTGGACAGGTAAGTGTCAATGAGCTGGAATCTAGGCCCTGGACAGCCTTGGAGAGGAGTATGGGAGGATATCAGAGTTGAATTAACATGGAGGGTGAATTCCCTCTGTCTTCCAGGGCAGACTTGGGGTCCCGTGCATGGGAGGTAATGTACCATGAGGATGTCTCACAGTTTTGTGTGGTGCATATTTTGCAGATAAAGACAGGAGCCCCTTGCAGGTCTGAGAGACTGGCCAAATACAACCAGCTCATGAGGTGAGTGGGCCTAGGGCTAAGGATGCAGAAGAGGGGATGTCTTTTGAGCCTCACCAGGGTGGAAAAGATGGACAGCACAGGCAGAGAACCCCAGGACTAAGGAAGTAGGGCATGGGAATGTCCTTGGTGCCACCAGGGTCCCACCTGACAGCAGTATCCTAGATGGGATCTCTCTTCAGATGTCTTTTCTCTCCCGCTGAAAGATGCAATACCTCTGTCAATCCAGTCCTGACATTCATCACAGCCTGTTTTTCCTTCTCTATCTCACTTCAAACACCTGTAGGCTAGATATCAGGAGGTGCTACTTCACGGTCAGGGCGGCTAGGATCTGGAACCAACTTCCAAGAGAAGTGGTGTTGGCTCCTACCCTGGGGGTCTTTAAGAGAAGGTTATAAGAACACCTTGCTGGGGTCGTTTGACCCCAGTACTCTTTCCTGCCATGGCAGGGGGTCGGACTAGATGATCTACTCAGGTCCCTTCCGACCCTACCAACTATAAACTATGAAACTATGATTTGTTCTGTCAGAGTTGCTCCTGATACCCCAGGTATTCCCTCAATACTGCCCTGCACTGAGGCTCTGAAGTTGATTAACTTTTTTCCTCTGCAGGATTGAAGAAGAGCTGGGGGATGAAGCTCGCTTCGCTGGACACAACTTTCGCAATCCAAGTGTTCTTTGAACATTGTCTATGGTGCACGGCAAATCCCCAGCTAATTCCCAATGCACAGACTCTGAAGCTATCTTCCCTGCACCTTAACCCCTTCTCTCTGTCTCTCTCTCTTCACCTTTGCTACTCAGCCATCTGGTTTCCTGTCTCCCTAAGTCCCTGTGAGTTCAGGTATCCCTAGCTCTCAAGCAAATGGTAAAAATGAGTTTTCCTTTCATCTCTTGCTTTGGGGTATTGTAGGCATGTCTGAGACTCTGCATTTTGTGTATTTTTTTCATCTGTCTGCAGATCTACTTGAGTCATTCTGCTTGTGTTTTAGGCTGTATGAACACTTCTGTTGGTGTGTCTGTGGCA